ACATTGTTTTCCGTCTTCCAAGACTGATGGTTTGAAGTATTGCTCTTGATATCAACCACTGATTGCTGTCCAAAATCTGATTCTTTGTGACAACTCTGAAATATTACTCGCTCTGATGTAAAACACTCACTCTACAATGAAAACAACTCAAGAAGATGTTTCATGTTTTAATGTTCCGGTATATATTCTAAAGTCTAAAGTGGTTCCAGCACAAACAGATTGTAATAATGTCATGTACATAATATACAAATATATTTTCCACAAACAGGACTGTTTGAACATCTCAGATCTATAACAGAAATTCCATTGTTCTATTAGCTATTTGTAATGCACAAAATATAGCTTCATTTCATATGTTTGCCTGTCATAAAGTTATGTACTGCCAGCTAACAACTAGTTCTCATTAAACAAAGGTCTGAAACGATACATTAAAAATTCAAAACAACAAGTATCAAAAGAGCTAGCAGTACAAAATGCATGAACAGATTTCAGTAGCTATTTAAACTTGGTTCAAAATTTTTAGCAAAATATGCTCTGCGTAAACAATAAACAATGCGGTGACACACAGCAATCCCCATGTTCTCACAAAGTACTCAACTACAAATATCCAAACATGGCAGGGTTGAATTGGGACTAATAAAAGTACACATTAAAGAAATATTTTCAGGAAATTTCAATCTTTGAATTCTCTAACATAACATAAATCAACAAACATACATATATATACTACTACAAAATCAGCTAAGGACTTTATTTTTTACTTATTATTTACAGCAATCTGAAACATTTGGGTGACCCTTACCTTCTTTAGAATAGCATATAATCAACTTACAAAACTGTAAAACAATATTTCAAGGAAATAATAGCGATGGCTAAAACTGAGTGAGCCTTTAAACAAGTCATATCTTCAATGGTTGATGTTGAAATCCATCCCCCTGTTGTGGCCTTTATATAAATGTCTTAAAGCAAAGCAATATTTGGATAAGAGTTTAGACTAGCCTACAGTACATTCTAACAAATACTAGATTGAAAAACATGTTTTCATGCTCTAACTCTTAACTTGAAAACATTTTTACCAATAAATTATATTTTTATATGGCTCATGCATTTTGACCAACAAAAAAAAAGATGTAAAAATGAATCAAATTTGTCAATCTAAAAAGGGATGTCATGAAGTGTTCTGCTCTAACACAGACCCCATCACAAACCGTTGAGTGTGACCAGCTTTAGGTTCCCCATAGTCCAACCCAGACAAGATGATGGTGTAGAACGTGTGTCTTTTTTGTTTAATTAATTTCCTACAATGCCAATAAATGATACATGTTTAGGACAAATCATGGGCAAGAAAAATAGCTCTTGGGGATATGTCGGAACTAGTTTACAAAAACATATTCAAGATACCAAGGTCTCAGAAAGAAAATGAAAACAAACAGTAAACACATTTTTTTACAGGATCACTTTAACATAAGCAGAGTGAGTGAGTTTAGTTTTACGCCGCACTCAGCAATATCCCGGCTATATGGCGGCGGTCTGTAAATAATCGAGTCCAGACCAGACAATCCAGTGATCAACAGCAAGAGCATTTATATGCGTAATTGGGAACCGATGACTTGTCAACCAAGTCAGCGAGCCTGACCACCCGATCCCGTTAGTCGCCTCTTACAACAAGCAAGGGTTACTGAAGATCAATATTCTAACCCGGATCTTCACGGGTATCATAAGCAGAGTGACAGCATCCATAACATTTTAATTTTGTTCTGATTCTAAGAAATTAAGGACTGGTGGATCTATAGACATAAAATATAACACAAAAAGCCCAACAAGATTGAAATGTGTTACACAAAACTCAATAAGCAAATAGCGTTGCCACGTCAAGAAACACCACTGTAGATTACCAGCTAATGAACAAACATAAGTTAAGCATGCACTGAGTAAACAAGATGAAAACAATGGATATGTACAAACACTGAGATATGTAGCTTCAGAATAAATTAAGACAAATGTATGTACAGAATTCTATGGACTAGACGTAAGCAGAAAAGCTGGTTTAAAAGAAATGTTCAGTTGTCACCTGATATCTGGTACTGGTGACCATGTTACATCAATGAAACATTCCAGAATCTTACTCTCACACTTCCATAACAAGCATCAGGACAAACACACGTACGGTAATCCTTCCAGATTGCTACTGATCTAAGAGATATTGACAGCCTTTCTCATAATGCTTGCTTGTTGATGTAATACATTTACTTGTACACTACCCTCTGAAAGTCATGACACATCTACACTTTATTACATACAGGCCATGATCATGCAACTGGAATATTGTGGAGTGCAGCATGAAACAAAACACGAGCTCTCAGTCTGAGGGAGTCAAGGAGGGAGCTTGTATGATGCTTCATCAATTTGGCTACGATAATGTGCAAATATGTTTTTATTAACTGTAGCTGCCACACTTGGACAAGTAAAGTTTTGTTTAAGGGATTGGTTTTATCTGGGCACAAGAAATCATGCTGTGGTACCATACTACTCAATATTTGTTAGGGACCAAAATACTATATTGTGATTGGTTAATTGAAGTCATTTAGGGGTATATAATCACGTAATATATCTCTGATTTTCGGTTATGGTAGAATTAGGAGATAAACATACTGTGTTAGAAAATCAGAGGTATATAATAGCGTTCAGTTTTAAATCAAATTTAGAGCTATTATAATTTTTGTTTATCTCCTCGTAAAGTGCAAAACATCCAGTCATTTATAGTGTGCTGAAACTCACGTTTTAAACTCTGCATTGATTTTCGCAACAAAATGATAACAATCCCCCAAATATTTGTGCTGACTACATGTAGATATCGATTAAAAAAATATGTAAACATGAAGAATTGCATTACAATATCATCGTAAAAATATGTAAACATAAAAAATTGTGTGAAATGTATAAACTTGATCATTTTATGTACAGTGTAAACTAATGCACTGAGTTTTTGATTTGTGATTTTTTCAACTTTTCTCCCACCAACTTAATATATCAACTCCAGTTAACACAAAACGACGTCACTGGACGATAGAACATTTTTAATCACGTGGTTGTTAGTATTTTGGCTGGCAACTACAAAAACGTACACCCAAACATACCATATTTCTCAAATAACCACCAATTTGTCAATATCAATATTTACATTTGGAAATTACTAATAAGTAACTGTCATGAATCATATTTTGATAAAAAGAGTTTATTAGTCACAATTAAAGACATTTTAAGAAACGACTAAATACAGACACATTTGTTTATATTTCAAGTCGTTATAATAATGCTTTTATATTTCTTAAGTTTAAAATATAGTGAGAGAAATCTATGAATCTTTGATGTTGGCTTCACTTAAAAATTATGTTATGTATTTTGATGATTAGGAGCCAGCTGGCGCTACTCCATTCTCTCTGCTAGTGTGACCAATAGCGTAATACCTTTCCCTAATGGACAGTGCATGCATTACCACAAATACGCATCTTCATTCTTGTTACGTAGTGATATGAACTCTGTTTAAATAATCACATCCATTTAGTAGATATGAAAAAGTGATTTTGAGCGGGACAGTTATTCTAAAACACACAGAAATCCGTAACATACAGGAGTTGTCTCCCTTACTCCACTGAACACATTCATGGCCATGAACACAACAAAATATGAAGATATTGAAAGTTTCTGGTGTCACTGTTATCATTATGTACAAGTTCTTGTATTGCAAACCTTCCTCTGCAGCTCTTGTACATTTCTGGAATAAGCTGACAATTCTGCATTAGGTTGTATCTGGTACAGGAATTTCCACTTAAAAAAGGACATGCTAAACGGACAAAAAGGTACTGTCAAATAGGGGTGAAACGGTACACTCGTACCACGGTATGGTACGTATTGCGGTACAAGACCTTTGGTTAGTTCGGTATATATGAGATATAATCATAATGCAAAAAACTGTCAACAATGGTGAAACCTCACATTGTTTAATGACCTGGAAAAAAATAACCATCATCTTTGTTTTTTAATGATCAAAACTGTCATTTTATGACAAGACAAATGATGGTACAAATCCCGAAAATACTGAGTTTTTGGATTGGATTACGGTATACCAAAGGCAAAATACTGCGGTTCTACTATTACCGCAGCATACCGTTTCACCCATACTGTCAAACTCATCCTTGTACACATAACAGTGACATATTAAGTGTACAAGTCTACCTTCTCCAATTACCAGGTGGTTACGGATAGACAATGGAGTCAAGTAGTGTTCAGATCAACTCTGATGTCTCTGGCTGGATCTTCTTGCGTCTGCTACACGATGTCGGCCATTTGTAATGATAGTGTGTCCTGTATCAGTAACACTGAGAATTGTGGGAGGTCACGGACTGGAACATGGACTATTCCACTCCTGACTCATGAGGTATACAAACATCAGTAGTTAATAGCCACACTCGTAAACAGAATTACATATACAACACAGCTGCCTAATATATCCGCTTAGGCCATGGTATATCATTAATTTGGAACAATATGACAGATTTACATCAAATTCATTACTTGAAACATTTGGATTGAATGCAACTTTGCATTGAAAACTCATGGTGGTTGAATATATAATGGATTGAACGGGTCTTCTGTTGTATAACCTTAGGTTAGCTTTGTGTAGCTTTGTGTAGACTGCATCCTCCACCAGAATTATACCTAATCACTTTCACTCCCAAGAAAGTTTCCATATCTCTGCCCAGTAAGGGACCATTCATAATTAATGGCTAAGGGGGGTGATGATGATTTTAAGGGTGGGTGGGGCGGAGGGTGTTGTCACCCATTTTGTTCTGGGGAGCTAGGGTCAGCAATTTTGTACACACGTACGAGGGGTGTCGGCAATTTTGTACATAAAATTGTTTAAAATTATGCTTGGAAATTATGGGAAGGGGAGGGGGGTGTCATTGATTTTGTACATGACATGCAGGAGGGGTCACTTACTTTGTACATACATTTTAGGGGGGTCATTCACATTGTACATGCTTCTCCATAAAAATCATCATCACACACACACACACACACACCCCAAGCCATAAATTATGAACGGTCCCTAATATTCAAACATCTCACTAGCACAGGCTGTGATCTCATATCATCACATCCTCTCACATTGTCAGGAAGAATCCCACCAGCTAATCCTGTTGAACTCTGTCACAACTGATTCCAGTACACAGACACATCGGCCAAAAACAGCCACACACTCAGGCATTTCAAGGCAATATACACAATACAGTGGTTATGGTCCAATAACTGAAGAAATGAACTCTTGTTTATCACAGGCATAGGTTGGACAAGTGGTCAGATATATTTGAAGCCATTGCCCAGTTGCAAGGGACATCAGTCTCCAATCAAAATTAATTTTTCCATTGGAAAATCATTTTTTGCTTACTGCATTGACTAGCTAGGCAGTAAGAGAAGATGGAGCAGTTATCAGAGGCTACCATCTAATGGAACACATTTGTTCAAGGTAACGTGCTACGCGCTTGTACATGTGGTTCTGTACTGAGGATGGTATAGAGTGTCCATCAGAGTTGTCCTCCTCATCAAGACAGGTCGTACTTCTCGAAGTGTTTCTTTAAGGCTTCAGCATACTCCTGATTGGTTCCTTGAGGGAGAGAGACAGAACGCTTCTTGCGGAGTTTGCTCCCTTTTCTCTTTAACATCGTCTTTATGCTCTTGAATGGATTTGATTCACTCGGGGAGCTCGTGTGATGCTGTTGATGATGTTGCTGTTGATGTGGTTTGTGATTCTGCTGCTTGTGACCAGGGGATTTAGACATTTTGTCCAATGCATACATATCGACACTTGACATGGAATGTGGCCTTTCCTTCACCTCCGAATGGTTGCCGTTGGCGATGCGAGACAGATCCTGAGGCAGCGAATATGACTTGGGAATATCTGCTGGCTCATCACAGCCGTTTTGTAAAAATGTCGTCATCGTCAATCTTATCATAAACTTCATCCTCATAATCATGAGTCAAGTCAAATTCTTGTGGAAACTCCAACAATGGATATTCGTTGGTTCTTGGCGACATTTCAATCATACTGCGAGGTCGTTCTTTTCCTGGAACACTCATCCTCCGCTCCACCTTTGCGTCCTTGTTCTCGTCGGCAAGGTTCTCCTGGCTACAGGACCTGACGGTGGTCTCCTCTAGAGTCTCCAGTGGCTCAGGATGATGCAGTTCAAAACTGCTACGATGTCGACGTAGTCTGTCACGCATACCACTGAATCGAAGCTTGTGCAATTTGTCCTTATCTCGAGGAGTTTTGACAGGGTTTTGTCCCTCTCCATCAGACTTTACGTAATGTTTTTCAGGGGTGATACCATTGGTGCCTTGGGGCATGTGAAGTTCTTTCAAGGCTGCAACCAATTTGTTATTTTTATCCCTTAAATCATCGATTTCTGCCTTTTGTGATTTAATTTTTTTGTCTTTCTCAAGCAACACATTTACCACATTTTTCTGATCTTTTCTTATCTGTCCTTCAAGAAATAACAGATGGGACACAATCTTCTCCACCTGGCGCTCCTGTTTCAGTGCCAGTCGACGAAGTTCCTGGTCTTTGTGCCGAAGCTGTGCCTGCAATGATGTGGTGAGAAAATTAGCTTTCGCTTGGTGCTGATGAAAGCAGGCCTGAGTCCGATGCATGGCGTCACGGCTCGTGGTAACCTCTTTCTGCAGAGCTTCTATTTCAAGCTGCATCTGTAATGACAAGAACCATCATTAGATATGAAATCATATAATAAAATGCACTACACTAATATAGCGTCATGATTTATTATTGATTTTAACAGCACTTCAGTTGTACGACAGAGTCAGCAGGACAACTTCAGATAACATGGATTATAGATGCTTTGCCTTCTACTGTGTTACTTAGGCTGCGCAGAGTTGCATCCCTTGAGTACACCAGAAACTTCTGCACCTGGATTTGAAGCATGGTTCATGTCCATTCAAGATCTGTTAGCACTATACCATGCTTGTGTTTGATGAAGGACCTGAATCACTTTGTGTTTTCTTCCACCCACATTAAGCTGGCACCCGATATAACTGGAACACTTATGGAACAGAGGCTGCAAGCCTAACTCACCCAAAAGCCAGTGACTCTGTTTAAGACTAATAACTCTTCAAGTCTGTATGAATACACATCTCAGTTTAACTTCCCAATTACAAGCACTGTCCTGCAGTGTCCCTTCATCCACTTTGTGTGATTTCCAGGTTAAAATCAGTCCAAGCAAACTTTGCTGGACAGAGGTGACTTTATACATCAGACTAACAGGTTCTGTGCCTTGGTTGATATCATTGTACCCCTGTGGTCATTGCTAAAAATATACACGCTGTCAAAGCTGTTGTATGTCAGTTACATTTCCATTGGTCCCAAGAATTAACACTCATACAAAGCCAGAAATCTACTATGCATTATAGGTCGTATCACCCTACTGGTCTCAGATCATCTCAATGACAAGATTGACCAGAATGGCCCTCTAAATCGTCTGACCTTTATGCTTGCCACAATCTGTTTTATGCCCAAATAAGTGACAGTCATGGACTAATTCATGCTTGAAAAGACATGAAACCCTTGGAGGATCAAAATCTGACATGGTCATTCACTAGTGACAGATTAGCATAGTGATAAAATTAGGGTACATTATGTGGGCAAACCAAGCTGCGGTCAGTCACTTGAGGGCATTTGTAAGGTTATATATGTATATAAAGTTGTAAGGTGAAGTATACAGACCTTTAGAAATACTCAGTGGAAATGTTGACTCATGCCTGAGGCATGTCAGAACTGGAGCAATAAAAAGCAGTTTCAGCAAGTTGAGTGACATAATGGACCTTCCAAGTGTGAACCAGAAACTGGCCGTGTTTGTGTGTCAGCTGCACTTACTCTGACCTCCCATACCCTTTGCGTGCTGGGGACCTGTTCTGACCTCCCATACCCTGTTGGTGCTGGGGACCTGTTCTAACCTCCAATACCCTTTGGGTGCTGGGGACCTGTTCTGACCTCCAATACCCTTTGGGTGCTGGGGACCTGTTCTGACCTGCAATACCCTTTGGGAGCTGGGGACCTGTTCTGACCTCCAATACCCTTTGGGTGCTGGGGACCTGTTCTGACCTCCAATACCCTTTGGGTGCTGGGGACCTGTTCTGACCTCCCATACCCTTTGGGTGCTGGGGACCTGTTCTGACCTCCAATACCCTTTGGGTGCTGGGGACCTGTTCTGACCTCCAATACCCTTTGGGTGCTGGGGACCTGTTCTGACCTCCCATACCCTTTGGGTGCTGGGGACCTGTTCTAACCTCCAATACCCTTTGGGTGCTGGGACCTGTTCTGACCTCCAATACCCTCTGGGTGCTGGGAACCTGTTCTGACCTCCCATACCCTTTGGGTGCTGGGGACCTGTTCTAACCTCCAATACCCTTTGGGTGCTGGGGACCTGTTCTGACCTCCAATACCCTTTGGGTGCTGGGGACCTGTTCTGACCTTCCATACCCTTTGGGTGCTGGGAACCTGTTCTGACCTCCCATACCCTTTGGGTGCTGGGGACCTGTTCTAACCTCCAATACCCTTTGGGTGCTGGGGACCTGTTCTGACCTCCAATACCCTTTGGGTGCTGGGGACCTGTTCTGACCTCCTATACCCTTTGGGTGCTGGGGACCTGTTCTGACCTCCCATACCCTTTGGGTGCTGGGGACCTGTTCTAACCTACAATACCCTTTGGGTGCTAGGAATCTCAAGTGAATAACCGTATGGTGACCTTGCAGTATCGTCCCCTACTTTCTACCCACTAATCCTGCCCACCCCTGAGAACACAGTCTCCTAGTAGATAAGACACCACGTGAAACTGCACACATGTCTACGTTCAATATCTCTCTCACTCACTACCTACCACCACTCTTCACTAATCCACGCCAGGCGTTACTGTAATGTTATAGCCCTAAATGAAGCAATTCCAGATTTTCCACAGATTTTCCTATCTCACTGATGCTCCTCTTGAATGTATATGCTTTTGATTCACTCTATCAATATACTATCATTTCAGAGAATCTACTCTCTATTGTGAGTCAGTGAGAGGGCTTAGTTTTACGCCGCTTTTAGCAATATCCCAGCAATATCATGGCGTAGGACACCAGAAATGGGCTTCACACATTAATTGTACCCATGTGGGGAATCGAACCCGGGTCTTCGGCATGACGAGTGAACGCTTTAACCACTAGGCTACCCCACCACCCTCTCTCTAGTGTGAGTCCACTACCCTTCTGTTCAGCCAGTCAGTCTTTATAATATCCAAAATACAGAGAATGGTATAAAAAGGCAAGAATGGGGTAGAACACTCCTGTTTGTGAACATGTTACATTCAACTATTCTGTTGACCTGTGTTGTGAGTCTTCTTAATGCAAAACAATTTGCACCAAACTGTTGCAGGTTGGTATGAAGAAAATTTTGTTGATTTGGTCATGAATGCATTGAAAATAAACACCTCACAGCTCGCGTGTTGTCACATTAAAACAGATTTGTGAGTCAATGAGTAATGTCAATATTTAATAGGAAAATTGATATTGATATTTGCATCAGCTTGACATCAGGTGCATTTGGTCAATACAGCTGCAAAGAAAATCATACCCTCCACAGGATGACGACATACCTAGTTCTCTGTTTAACCTAATCGCTTGAGCAAACCTCCCATATGTCCTATATCAATATATGATTGTCTTCATAGGACATCCAAACACTACATCAAGAACGGAGCTGTCAACATGAAGATGTGCTTTTGTATCAGTGTAAGTGTATATTAAGATGTATTTTTCCTGCCCCATAGAATAGCTGTATGGGACTGTCTAAGGTGAGGTGAGGTGAAAATGGGTTTAACGTCGTGCTTGAGAATATTTCGCTCATATGACGACGTGCATGAGTGTGTATGTGTATGTGCGGCTGCTTGTACTAGCCCAGACTGAAGCTGGTTTTATAGTGCTAGTCCACTTAGATACTATGCCGCAGTGAAGCAGAAATACCCAACTCAGACACATTATACTGACTCCGAGCCAACCAGTCCTTGGTGTACCCATTAATGCCGAGCGCCAGGCAGGGACCAACAAGTACCATATTTTAACGTCTTTTGGTATGACGCGGTCGGGGATCGAACCCGCGACCTTCCGCTCTCCCGGCGGACGCTCTAACCACTACACCACGGAGGCGGTCGGGACTGTCTAAAATATCCATATATCCATAGATAATGCAAGGCAGATACCAAGACAATTTTTAACAAGGGCTGTGATTTGCAGAAATTAGTTGTAATCTGATGACTGTATATCATACGTTCACATTGGAAACTAATATTTATTTACTTTCATCATCTCAACTAACAACCCTTTACAGACTCTTGTTTGGAGTAGATCTCCAACAGTGAGTGAGTATGGTTTTATGCCGCTTTTGCAATATTCCAGCAAAATCACCGTGTCTAACACCAGGTATGGGCTTCACACATTGTCCCCATGTTTGGTAACCGAACTCGGGCCTTCGGCGTGACATCGAACGCTTTAACCACAAGGCTACCCCACCGCACCAGATCTCCAACAACAAATTATGGCATCGACACAGATTGGGTGAACAGTCGCAACGCATGTATTGTACCAAGATGGTTGCTGACAATATCAATCACTGGATCGTCCAGTTCAGTGTGGATTATTTACAGTGCTCTCATACAGCTGGTTTTTCGTTGCCCACAGTATAAGCCCTAACAATGACCATAGTGTCATGAACAATCAATATGTGGCTTCCATTTACTAAATGACCATCATCTCTGGAAAGCTGTACGGAAAGAGATGCCATATAGCTGGAATATTGCTGAGTGCAGCGTAAAACTAAACTCACTCACTCACTGTTCTGAAATATGTACAGGAGATAATGTCTGCAAACCTAAAGGAGAAACCTTGACACTAGACAACTTGTCATCCATCTCACTAATGCAATATGACGTCTGAAAACTGTTTAATTCAACCTCAGTATTATAACTAAACCAACCACATTTGTACAAATGTGCAAGTGTCAAATTGACCTTGTATTTATGGATGCAACTTTCAAAGAAATTCCGATTATCAAAAAAGAATTAGTATTAAAGACTCAACATACCATCACAAACAAATGTCATAGTGAGCTATAGTAACCTATCTATCTTCCTACACATTAACACAGATATTTATTACCAGTTATGACTGACAAAGAAGGTTCCTAGCCATTAAGTACACACTAAAAGCAATCATAACTATTCATCAACTATACATTAACATGAAATTATATTCAATGATTACTGAGGTCGTCATTATATGTCAAGTCAGGATACTTAGATTCCACCAACATTAAGTCAACACAGGCCTGGGCGATATAAAGCCATAAAACCATGTCTGGGACATTTATTACACAGGCAGGGGTTGATATCAAGATAGGAGACTTTATTACCTAGGCCTCCAGTCTAAGTTTATTGGGGCGTGCCGTCTTACACTGTCAATCAAGGTGAGCATGCACAGCAGACACAAGGTTCATGCTGCATTTAATATGCATGAAAACAGGACAGGTGCTGGCTGTATGTCAGATGACTGTATCCAAACACTTTCTTTACATTTAATCTGGGTTTTTTAATGGAATGCTTTGAAGATTTTCACTCAACTTTGCTAGTCAGGCTTGTAAGGGATTGCAGGGTTTTGTT